AGAAGCATACTGAGCATACTGTCTGAACATCAAACGTGCATCTTTTTATCTTTATTTTGGATGACTATTGCAGTATTAGCTAAATGCTGCTTCTCTGGTAAAGGATAAAGCATGAAATGTAAGATTTGGAGCATACACATTATACAGATTATCCAGTGCCTTTCCATCCACTCATGGTATCAGCATTGCCAAATGCTGCATGAACTATTACAGATTTTGGAATGGTAATTTTACAAATATTCCTGAATAAGCCCTGCACTGGACAATGTGAGGAGATCTGTGGGAATGCAGTGTTAGATATTGATGATTAAAAACGTAGGAGATGATTGAATTTTCTTCTGGCTATGCAGAGAAATACTTCTGTAATCAGAACTGTAAAGTCATGAATGATAGTTTAGCTTGTACAAATGAAAATTTCAGACATACATGGAATAGTAGTTGCAAAGCTCTTTGTTGCAGAAATTATGCATGCGCAGTGTACGCCAGTGCTACTAAATGAATACCAGAGGATGCTATAGCTTATAGATCTTTTCCAAGTTTAAATGTGTTGGCAAACAGCAGTCTCTTTCATGTGGGTTTTAAAACAATTTTTATAAATGTTTACTAGTCACTTTCATTGTTAATGATCATCACCAGGCACAGTGGACCGAAAAAGAGAAACTGTGGTGCCCTCACCACTAATTTGGCAAATGCATAGCTTTATATTTTATGAAGCATTAAAGTATTTTTGTCCTGTAATTTTTCAGATCAATAGTGAAAAATGGAATAGATGCTACTATTTAACACCATGAAAAATAATTACTATTCTACTTAAAGCAAATGTAGCAGAAGACTCTTCTAACAGCAGCTCTGTGCTAAACTAAACTCTGCTAACCTTATCTTCTGCGCTTCAGAAGGCAGCTTGGGTTTTGTGCTCTAGCAATCCCATTTTACTGGTCAACACAGAATTTTAATTAAACATAGCTTACAGGCTGCATCTCAAATGAAAAAATGAAATTAGAGCATACCCTTACATGGAGTTTATACTGATTATGGTGCTCAAAGGTAATTTTTATATTTCTTTTCTTCTGAACTCATGACTATTTTATGATGTTAGATAATTAGTGTTTCAATCCGTGCATTAAAAATGGGTTCTTCATAGTATGTCCAATTCATTAAATTTTTACAGACTTTTACACTAGAAAATGAGATTTGCCATTTGCATTCTCAATAGTTGTGCCAGTTCATAAATACAGTTATGCATCATTACTTTAGGAAAACATGGACCAATAGGTTAATAATAAATCCTTAGATTATTTCAGATTTTCCTTACTGTATAACACACAACATATCCACTGAATCTGTATATCTCAAAACATATATTTACAGATAGTCTATACCTTTAAATTCAAGCAAAACAACTACCTTTTTCTATTCCATAGTTTGAAAAAGCTAATACAATTTTGGGAAGAGACTCAAGCATTTCTGCCTGTGTATGTGTCTATGTGTTTTAGTGTGTTTTTTTTAAATATGCGTGAAATTTGCTGTTACCTGCTTCACTTGTTATTTCAGGGATTGTAATTTTAGATGGACAGATATGAAAGACACGTTGTAAAATGAATTTAATTAAATGAAGATAACCTCACAAGGCTATGTTAGAATAAAATGTGTCTATAATACTAAGACAAATATTTTAATTCTTTGTCATATAGATAGGTGAAACCATGGATTGTTTTTATAGCAAATTATGCAAATTATGAAGAAGAGGCTTATTTATCATGCATGCCCTGGGAATAAAACCTACTGTAGGGGTAGTATAGGACCCTATAGTCTTCTCTCAGGATACACAGGCTTCTGTGTAGGGCTTACTGTAGTCAATCTCTTAAGGATTTTACTAAAGTTCTGGAAACAGTGATTCCAGGATATTCTAATATTCTACAATTTGAATGTGAGTCAGCAACTTGCCCTTGTGGCAAAGCAGTCCCCTGGGCTGCATTACGCCCAGGAGTGTTGCCAGCAGGTCAAGGGAGATAATTTTTCCCCTACTCAGCAGTGGTGAGGCCTCATCTGGAATGCTGGGTCCAGTGCCAGGCTCCCCAGTACAAGACAGGGACATTTTGGAGCAAGTCCAGCAAAAGGCAACAAACATTATGGAGGATCTGGAGCATCTCTCGTACAAAGAGACGTTGAGAGAACTGGGACTGTTCAGCCTGAAGAGCAGAAGGCTCCAGAGCAACCTTGCCAGTGTGTGTATATATCTGAATGGAGGGAGTAAAACTGGGCACCAAGAGTCCTCTCATAGGTGCCACTGGGCACAAACTGAAATATGGGAAATTCTGTTTAAACGTTAAGAAGAAACTTCTGTACTATGAGCATGATGGAACCCTGGAACAGGCTGCCCAGAGAGAGGTTGTGGAGTCTCTATCCTTGGAGATACTCAAAACCTGACCTGACATGGACCTGAGCAATTTGCTTGAGCCGACTTTGTTTGAGCAGGGGGTTTGGACCACATGATCTCCAGCGGGAGGGCCCTGCCAACCTCAGGCATTCTGTGATTCTGTGAACGGTTTAAATCGATCTATTGGTTTGTGCCTATGAAGCTACAATAATAAGGTAACCTTGATGAAAACATAAAACATTTTTCCAATTCACAGTGCAGACTTGTGCTGATTTATTTCATGAAGACTTGAATGCTCACAAAATTCTGAGAATAATGGGAAAAGTTGAATATCAAATTAAGAAAATCCTTGATCTTTACGTTACAAATTTCTGGAGTTCCTCATCTGTCAGTCTTTGGTCAAGGGTTTTATCTTTCGTTACAGTATTGGAGTGAACTGAGCAATAGCCTCTTCTAAGGGCAACATGACATGAATGCAGTAGCAGTCTAAGCAAGTTCGCTTAAGAAAGGATCAGTGTTTGCTGTTTTACTTGTGTTTAAAGGAAATATAACAAAAAGAGATGAAGCTATCTCTTGCATTGTTTCTTACCTTTTTAATTTCCCTAGTGTCACTCAGGCTTTATTTTCCTACTTTCCTTTTGTCACATCTCAATAATTGCCTACTTACATCATCACTGAAAAAAAAATCAAATAATCTAGAAGCTCTTCTTAATGGCTATTTTAATGACATTACTCAGTATGAGCTGTGTTAATTCTTTTCTGTCTAATTCTATATTCTCACTTTCTCAAAAAATGTCACTTTGAAAGTATGAGTTTGCAAAGGAAAGCAGTTCAGAGCCAAGGTATTTCAGAATCCAGTTTCCTCACAGAATCTCAGTACCATTCCCTGTGTATTGTTACCTAGTCTGTACCTGTACAGAATTCTGTACATGTGCGTGGTGGGAACACACATCATCGTGAATCAAAGCCTCCATCAAAGTCATCTCATCAGGCACTGAGGTTTGTACGGCCTTTATTTGAGTCACCTGAGATACTTGTCACACCTGTGTGGTGCCTCTTAAAAGAGGAAGTGCTGTTGGTGCTGCGATAACTTTTGAGTGTTACCTATGAACAGTAAAAAAAGTTATTGATAGATATACATGGATGTACATCATAAAGGTGTGTTTATGTACATAGGCATGCATGTACATGTACAGATTGATTTTTGAGATCATGCCATTTAAAATTTAGTTTTTTAATACGTAGAATGTTTTAAAATTCCTCTCTCTATATAGGAGATTATGTTTGTAAATTTAATTACTTTTATGTAATTAAAATAAATTAAATTACTTACTTTTAAGACCAGAAGGTACCACAATATCTTACTTTGTTTCATATTTCCACATAAACAGGCACATGAAGCATGTAAAATATAAACTCATTCTATCACCAAATCCTAATTTTGTGTCATTTCAATGCAGTGAGCATGAGAGTTGTTGGAAGAGGAGGTTTGTTCCTGGCTCCAGTGCTCTCTTTTTTACTTGGAGATTTAGGAAAGTTCAACTCAACCTAGGGTGATACATATAATGTAGGTACCTACACCTAAATTATGGCCTGTAATAGTCTGTAGGCTAATACTGGCCTCTTAGGTAGTAGCTATATACGTAGGCCTCTTAGGCAGCCTGCAGTCATGAGCAAATAAAATCGTCACCTAGCACCTCCTGAGTTTAAAGATACATCAAACTTACTAGCTTTGTGGGTGATCTACATGAAGCTTAACCCAGGCATTAACATCCAGGCGTTAACATCAAGCTTAACTCCCCAGCCTGGGGTGTCTGCAGGAGACAGTGGAGTTAGATGCTCTTCTTCTGCCGAAGCTCCATCAGGAGGTAGCAAGGAGGCATCTCTCCACAGCATCTCAAGTCTATCCCAGGTTGTGTCCCAGGAGACATAGGTTGTAGTTTTGCTGTAGTTTGAGAAAGTGTGAACCTGTATCTTCACCTGCATATCTTTATAAGAGATTAATGTACCACTGTACAGCCTGGAGTTCAAGGTGTATGGGACCAGGAGAGACACTGACCAAGAGGGAGACTCTGATTTTGCAGGGCAGCAGTTGAGAATCACACCCAGAAAGAAAGGCAACACTGGTTATAACCCCTGCTGCACAAGCTGATAATGTGTTTGTGCATCTTAACTTTTTCCACTGACTGACTATGGAGAGGTGCTGATGCCTAACTGAGCAGTCTGGCTCAAAGTACTGGGCAAGATACCTAATTTTCAAACACAAATAAATGTTTTGTGTCTATTTGGAAAAATGTGTACCTATTTGGAAAAACAGAATAACCTCACTTCCTTTGGCAGTGATATCCTACGAGATATGTTGGCTGCCCCAGCTGTTGGAACAATAAAGCAGTTCAACTAAATGTGTTGTTCTAGAGACTGAGATCTGTGTTTGCATGCCAATTTTCAAGTTACTATTAGTTGTGGCTGCCAAGGTATGTGTCTAAAATTTGGCATTTGCTTTGATCATTGTATCTAACTTCAGTATACAGTGGTTTCCTTTAACATCCAGGAAAGATCTATTCTTCTATAAATCTTAGCATTCTGTGCTGCATTTACTGAGAGAGATAACTCTTTGTTTTTCAGAGCTTCCATATGGCTGGGAGAAAATTGATGATCCCATTTATGGCACTTATTATGTTGAGTAAGTTCCCAAGTTCAATATTAACTTGTTGTTACTGTGTCATAACCTAATATTAGTATTCTCTGCAGTACTTAGAATGGGAATACATGAATGCAATTACTTGTGCAGTGAGACTGGAGGTATACAGGAATTCTCAATTATCAATACAGTTATGTGGCTAAATATATTCAGTGTGTCTCAAATATTTTAGCCATTCTGTTTCTTCAAGGCCTGATTTCGCAGTAACAATTCAACAGATATTTGTCAGAAGATTATATTAATTAAAGCAAAGTTGTTGTATTTTCTGTATAAGGTTTGGATGGCCAGTGAGTTACAGGTCTTATTAATCAATGGATAGAACAAAGCATAATAATTTTAGCTCACTTAAGATCCTTTTGTGGATGGTCCTTTCTTGCTTCAAATCAGATGTTCACAGTGTTTCTACCACAAGTCAGGTTACAGGTTGTTTTATTCTATATTTAAAAGTGCACCTGAAAATGAGAGAACATAAATGTTTAGCAATCCTTGCTTTCATTTTTTTGGATTATATTTTGTTCATGAAACAAGCAAGTCCCCATTCTTACTCACCTGTGCAAAGGACAATAATAGGCATGTCTGAAGTAACAAAACCTTGCTTTAGCTAGATCCTGTAGAAAACCAGTAAATCAGTCTTTGCACAGTTAGTGAGACTTATACAAAGTGAATCTGCATTCAAAACTATGATCCTGTTCAGAGGATTTTACTCTGCTCTCACATTAGTGACTACCCAAAGTATTTATCAGGGGTAGGGAAAGCCCTGATTACTCTGTTGCTGTGCATGCAGTGCTTCGAAAAAAACACTTTTTCAGACCAAGATCTATCCGTTATTCCATTTATTAAAGAAGGGAGAAGATGGTTCCTAGTCTAAAATCTCCATTTCAAATTCTGGCAACAAGCAGTACATTTGCTCTAGTTGTTTCACACGGAATTTTGGTTTGTGCATCACACTATTCCCTGGTTACCTTTATCCCATGAATCCATACCACCACTTGGACAGCAGGCTCCTTCTGTAGAGACAGGAGGTCTGCTACCTCGGAGTATGCTGCATAAACTTGGGCAGGGTACAGCTGGATGAGAGACATCATGAAAAGATCCAATTTCTGGGATTCAATCCCAGAGATTGTTGGGAGAAAGGGTTGGGAGAAAAGGCTCCCTTTTCTTCACAGCTATAATAGCAGCAGCCTGTGGATGTCCATGCACTTTCCCTAGCCTTCCTATAAGGCAAACAAACAAATGGAAGCAGTGTTTGGCCACCGTCCTGCTGAGTCCTTCTGTCCCATTCTCCAAACGCAGTAGCAACCGCCCTACCTCTTTTCCCAGCTTGTTCCCTGCCCTCCACTGAAAGGGCCAGCAGCTCCATCTGCTTTGCTCATTGGTGCAAGACAGGTCAGTCAGTGCAGATTCCTGTTTATATCAAGCAGAACGGTAAGTTTTTGACATCCTAAAGTAATGCCATTAAATTAGCCTCTCTCTACACTTGAGTTTTTTCATGACGTCCCTGAGTAGTTAGGGTTGGAGAACACCTTCCTCTTTGTCTTTAATCCTTCTGAAGATTTCTTCATGTACAATTGTGCAGCCGCTGGGTTGGAGTTAGAGTCTTCTGCACCAGTGGGTTTTAGTGTATTTTGGGGAGTAACAGGTGTTGTGCAATTTCCATGCATCAGTCTCTGCCTGTTATCCTCTTTGTTGCCAGCACAGCCCAAAGCATTTTGGCAGGGTTGAGGCTCACGTTATACAGTCAGGAAAGGAACAAGTATTTATCTCCATTTCATGTCCATCCTTCAGGTGGGCAAGGCTCCTGGCCCACATGTTGCTATGCAATTGCATATTTTAAGGCTCTTACTGCCAAATTCAGGCATCCTATCACAGATAAGATTTGTAGAAAGAAGTATCAAACCTACTGTAAGCTCGGAGGTTTTACAAGTGGAAAAATGTTCATAGACTGGTATTAAAACTTTGACAGCACTAGGTACCTAAAGAGTTTTATAGCCAGTAAAACATATCTGTACCTTAATTTGCTGTCTGAGCTCAGTAAGTGACACAAAAAATGTTTTACATTTTTTCATTGTAAAAGGTGACAGTTATGCCTTTTTATTACAAGTATTCAACAGATGAGTTCATTTTTAACTACATAAAATCAGATTACAATGCACTGTCTTAATTATCTCATAAAAGTGGGTAAATCATGAAAAGTTAGGTTATGAACTTTCACACATTGAAGTCCAGACCAACTTTATATGCCGGCCTTTAAAACTGTCAGTGAAAGAATAGTTTCTACTCTACTTGCAGAAATATTTACATCCCATGGGAAGTTTGCAAGGATGAGCAGTAGTCTCAGGTTCAGGTTGATCCTACAGAGGCCATTGTCAGCTCCAATATTCTGAGATCAAAAGAGACACTTAAAAATAAAATAAAACTGAAGAGTTGTTATCAGAGCTAAGAAACACTAATCGCAGAGTATTTTTAAATTCATTTGAAAACTTTTAATCATGCATGAATATACATGTGAGAGATCATTAAAATTTTCATTTCCTTTGTTATGCAGGTCCAGGTTTCATTTGTAAGGTATAGACGTTTGACATAAATGAGAAGTGCTTGCTATACATGGTTTAACTTTCATGCAGTTTTGTCCTAATTTATAAACTAAGAACAAGTAGCATTTAGCTATGCAGGGCGAGAATGCAGTTATCAAATTGCATTCTCAGCATTCTAATTGCCTAAAGATTATTTCCCCCTTTAAGGATGATTAACTACATCACACAGCTCAATTTCCAGACATGGTCTCTTTAACAGAACAGCTAAATTGACCATACAGGTATTTATTGTGAAAAAAATTACCTCCTTATAATTTCTGACAATGCTCTGTTGCTGCTCCAATAGAAAACCTTCTCTGAGGAGGTCTTTTTGTCTTTATTATATATTGGTAACTGAGAATGAAAAGAGAACTTAGACACTAACTCATCTGCAGCAATTTGTCTGATTTAGCCATGGAGCTGTACAGCACTCGAAACAGCATGATGCAGAGTTTCTTCTTGTCTCACTGAATTTGTCTAATTCTCGGGTCAATGTTTGTTATGTATTTACAGTCTTTGGTCATAAATTCAGTGCAAGTGACTTATAAAAATAACCGATTTTATGTATACTTTTCTTCTCTTTGACTCCTTTGGACCACATATTTAATGAAGTTGTTTGAACTTCTTGGCATTCTCACATTGCTTTACAGACTTCACACTACCATAAAGGAGACAAAAATATGGGAATAGATTGCAGCTAAGAATTATTAGTATTGCATCAACACCCTGAGGAGTCTTCAATACCTCTGCTAGTCTTCCTGTCTGATCTCACTAGGGCAGAAAGACCATTATCTGAGGCATTTCTGTCTAAATAGATTAAAGCACAACTTAAACTCTACCTAGCAACCACTGAAAGGAAGCTGATTGATATTCAATGAGCCATGGACACAACCTGTATTATGTAAAATCATATCCTTTTACCACAGAACCGTGTATAAATTGTAACATAGGTCTGCGAGAAGCCATCTGTGACCCTAAGACATGCCTTGCATCTACATCATGACACAAAGCATAGTTCAAGGAACTAAGGTGTGTTCTTAGTTATCCATTACATCTGCACAGTATGACACAAAAGCTGTGGAAAATCCATGTTCTTCTGGAAGAGCAACTGAAAACCAGGGCAGGATACTTTAGAGCCTCTAAAATACCAACAGATCCCTGTGTTGAGGCCACTAACTCCATGCAGTGTGTTGCAATCCTGTTTTTAAAATTATCAAATGCCATGGTAAAGACAGCCAAGCAGTTTACCCAACTGATACTGAAAGCTATTTCAGGATTTTGTACTTCAGCTTTTAAGCAGATGCAGTCCTGTGCCCGGTGCTCTAGGTGACCCTGCATGTGGAGGGAGGTTGGACTAGATGACCTCTAGAGGTCCCTTCCAACCTTAAGGATTCTATGATTATATGATTCTAAGAAGCCTTCTGATTTCAAGTCTAGATTTATTCCTGGCCAAATTTTAGGTGTTTATTCTTTTACCTACCCCGTCAACTCTAATATCTCCTAGTATTTACTTCTGAATGTATTCAAAGAATGTAATTATATAACACCATTCATTTTTCCTCAATAAAAATGTGCAAAAACTTCTCTCATAGGACACTTTCACTAGTCTATCTGAAATACTTTTTGAATTAATTCTTTTTGCTTAGTCACAAGTGATCAGAACTTTACCTAGTATTTCACATGATGCTTCATCACTTACTTATGGCAAAAATAGTATTTGCTTGTCAGTTTGAGAATTCATCACATGATAGGCACATGATACATGATAGGTAGTGTGAAATTTGCCTTTTTCCTAGTAGTTCATTAGTAGTTCATAATTACCCCATGATCATTTAATACATGTATGTCTTCCTCTGTTTCTGTTTGATAAAATTTCTCTCCCTTCCATCACATATTTCTAGATTTACAAGAGTTATAGCCACGTCCACAGATTAGCGACTCCAGGACTTATCAAGTATAATTTGAATCTCCTGAGTAAAAGAAATATTCTTTTGCATGAATGGAAATCTTTTCATTGCATTAGCTGTCTCCACCAAATCCTGACCTTTCAGATAGATTTTATTCCCTTAGTACTTGATCTCTTCTCTCTAGTCTGCTTTTGAATGGCAATTTAATGAAAAGTTCTTAATGTTTCTACAAAAAAATAATTTCAGCGTAAGCTGAAGGTATTAGACCCATTTTAGTATCTTACAGGTTTGAAAGTTTCCAGATCACCTCTCTGAGTGTTTAAAGACAGTGACAGGGATTGGATTTTCAGAAGGCCTCAACACATAGTTGCTCCATAAGAACGAACGAGAAGTGATATGTCTGAAAACCTCGCTATTGTACATATGTATTTATTTCCCCAGAACATTTGTAACACAAACCCCTTTTTCTAATCTGTGATCCTATTATGCAGTTATTCAATGCCACCAACTAAGTTCTTTTGCCTTCCTCAGAAGTGTGAAACATATAGTATGTTTTATGTATATACTTATATATACTGCTAGTCTAGCCTGACTTAATTTCTGCATGATCCCATTTTTCTGAAGAGCTTAGTAGATACATCCTATAGAATCGAAAAGGATTTATATTCAGGTTGTTTCCTGTGTTCCATGTGTTTCTATTTTAAGCAGTGATCATAAATATACTCTGTGTGGTAGGCTTTACCTTTTACTGCAGATGATTAAGTAATTTCATTTATGGCTTATCTATAATAATGCACTAGGACTGGTTCAGTTTCCTTGAATTTCCTGAACACAGAACGGTGTTTGTACTAAAGACACGAAACATGCTATAGCATGCTCCAGCAGTACTGTGATTAATATATAGTCAAAACCATTTGCCTGTAGCAGAGCAGCATGTTGGAATGATAGGGCACTTCCCGGTGCTATTTGTTATGTTACGCACGACATTGTGCATTTCTCATCCCCATCAAAATTATGTGGAGCATAAGGGAGGCCCATAAGGGTTGCACAAGGGTTTCACTACCATACACACATCACTTAACAGCATCCTACTGTGAAAATTACCATTTTCCCCAAATGAACTTTGTTTTTAATCAAAACCAAATTTTTTCCAGCCACATAAATAGAAGAACACAATTTGAAAACCCTGTCCTAGAAGCAAAAAGGAAGCTACAGCAGCATAACATGCCCAACACAGAACTTGGAACAAAGCCTATGCAGGCCCAAGGTTTCCGAGGTACAGTACCATATTAGTGTATCTTAGTTAAGATGAAGGATCTTGCTTTCCTTGTTTGTGTGACAATGATTTGTCATAGGCTGATTAAAATAGTAGTGTTGCCAGTTCTCCCAATACTGTTAGCAATGCCTTTTCCCCTGAAAGCCCAAGCATCTGGAGTTGTGGGACTCTCATGAGCCGTCCAAAAAACTCAGGCCTTCAGAGTCACAGAGAAGAGTAGAAAAGATGACCCAGAGTATCCTAAAGGCTGAGAAAAAGGAAGCACAATAAGAACCCCAGCGTTATTTTCTAAATAAAACCATAATTTCTATTCTTGGGAATTTATGATTCTGTCTTGAGCACCTGAGATTGGCAACACTGAAATGAATAATTGTACTTTCTCTAAATTACTGCTAATTGATGTTTGGTGTGTTTCTAAGCTAGCTCATCTAGCAAGCATCAATTAAGCTGAAAGCCTCAAGCACTGTGTTATAGAAGTTTACAAGAATGCAGCCTCTTGGTAATGTGAAAATTAATGCGCTTAGAGTGAACTGTATAAGCAACACACAGGATTCATAGAGACGAATAAACTTAAACGTGAAGTTGTAGCCAAAGAATGAGGCTTGTTCTCCTTTGTAACAGTCCAAAGCTCCTCATCAACATTACCTAGGCCCAAACACGCTCACCCGCGCCCCGCTCCTCAGAGGTCCCGCAGTGTGAATGATCTGTCTCAGTGTCGGCGCGACAGTGCTCGGACGTACGGGCTGTATGGTATGTCCGCGGGCTGCTCGCTGGGCAAGCCGTGCCGCTGCGGGCGCAGCGAGATGCGGCTCCGTCACGATCCTTTCACCTTTCTCATACCTTCTCTCACAAAACCAAGCACGGCAGAGAGGCCCGGGAAGCCAGGGGAGGCCTGCGCTTGCCCGCTGGTGCTCACGCTGCGCACTGGAGCACTCTGAAAGGGGATGTAAAGGTCACACGACTGTCACAGCAGTTGTAAATGTCACTCGCTGGATGCCAAAAGCCCTTGTGTTTGGAGAGAAAAGTTTGCCTGATATTTAGCATTGTTTTTAACAAGTGCTTTTAAGAGATACAGGGGATAATTTCCTTATTGTGGGTGAGAGGGAAATTGTGCAGAATGTATTGCATTGTAGACAAAGTTGAATTTATAGGTTAGGAATAATTTGAAAGAGGTTTTAAAATTACCTCAGATATCATTTTTATTATTGTAATTATTTTAGCTGCACAATACCCACTTCTAAATGCCTTTCAAATATGAAAGAACATTTATAACTCTCCACTTATGGCTGATTGGCCATAGATAAAAATCCGTCCTAAACTTTGTGTTAGTAATAAGAATTCACTAATATTTTTTTTTCCTGGAATGCTTGCACTCTTTATTTCCTCTGTTTTCATACACTGTCACCTACTGTCAACTACTACTATTATCTACTGCTTCCATTGAGCTATGACCAGATCAGAACGTTTATGTTTCTTGTTTGTGTTGACTGATTTAGAAAAACCACTCTTCACCCGTGATGCATCACAGCTGAAGGGGACTTTCCTCAGCACAACTCTTAAGAAAAGCAACATGGGTTTTGGATTTACCATCATTGGTGGGGATGAGCCAGATGAGTTTCTTCAGGTGAAGAGTGTAATTCCTGATGGGCCTGCAGCACAAGATGGGAAAATGGAAACAGGTAATACATATGGTTCCTCTATTCTCTTATATGACAACTAGGCTCAGCTAGAGATTTTTGAGGTTCACTGGTATATAAAATACGTGCTGTTCCTCCCTAACACTCTCTGTAAACACCTAACACTGCTGCTTTTAAGAGAAGATAAGCCTCTCTGACAAAACTTTGGTACACAATATTTCTCTGGAAATATTGGGTAGCTTACTTTCTCCCTTTCACTATATTTTGAAGGAAAAAGATCTCTTCTTTCTACAATGGAAAAAAAAAAAAAGGAACTGTGATGTTCTTTGGTTTGTAGGCCGTTTACCCGAGAGGAGTCTGTGTGTGCAGAGAAAGAGAGCACAGGATACAAGATGCAAGCTTCTTTCTTAGGAAAGGACAGTTTTGCAAAATAATCAAAGTCTGATCCAACATAGTTCTCATCAAAACAAGGATTTTCAGTGTGTGAAGTGTAGATATAGGTATCTGTGGACTGCTAATAGAGAATATGTGAAAAATAACTAAATAGATTTAACAAAGCTTCCTTAGAAGAGATGTTAAGTTACGAGAAATATCTGATAACGATAGAATAATTTAAGTAGGAAAGGTCTAGTCCAACTTCCTGCTCCAAGCAGGCCTAACTTCATGGTTGGACCCTCAGTGCTGTGCCTATGTGAGTATAAAAAAATTCCAAGGATGGTGATCCACCACTTTTGTGGGCTTCTGTTTTGGTGTTTAACCACTCTCCTTGTGAAGATTTTTTTTATCCTGTATATCCAATTGGAATTTCCACTATTCCAGCTCATTACCATTGACCATGGTCCTGTGCCTGTGCACGTCTTTAGCTGTGCACCATCTCTCCCCAACAGGCTTAAGTCAGAAGCTGGACAGGCTGTACATTGGTACAGGAGCGTGGATATAATTTCCCCTTCATTTCCCCACAAAGCTTCACAGGAAAAATTAGAGCTTTGGATTTATATTGCTGCCAAAGAAACCCAGTTCATGGTGACCAGAGTCTCTGTGAAGATACAGAGAATTTCCTAGCCTGTAACAGATTCCTGCAGATGGATCAAAGCAGCAGGATATTTTTAGTATATTCCAATATAGGGAACAACCATACATTATTCTTTTTGTATGTGTTTGTTGGTTGATCCCAGGCAATTCTTCTGGAAATTTCTTTTCACCCTTCTATTGTAGCAAAGGAATGATCCAGAGTATCATATGTTATAGTAAAACACCCTGAACTCTAGCTAATTCTGTAAGACTCTCCAGGACTTTGCAAGTAGGAAGTGTGAAGGTTGTAAAGGTTGTGAAAAGTATTATTTTTAAAGCACCAGAATTTATCTTATATTACAGTTGGCAGGATATTTCTGATTGAAAAAAAAAAAAAAAGGCAGGTAAATAGAAACTTATATAAAAAAGTAAAATGTGAAAAAGTAGAATGCAGAGTGTTTTGTTCTGGCTTTGTATGAAAAAAAATAGTATGCCAGCTTTTTAATTGCTTTCAATGCTTGTTGCTATTTAAACTTCAAAATGAAACTCATTACCAAAAGGCAAAGTTAAAGCAGCAGATTAAGTGAAGAAAGAATGCGGCAGACTTACTGAAGCTCAGTAGAGATTAATAACATAAACTTCATATTTCTTGTTATTTTCATATTACCTAATATGCTCCATGAGATATTTTCCTTCTTTATTGTAGTTTAGTATGCTCTGATCCAGCAGTCAAATATAGCTACTTGTTAACTTGTCTGAAATGTGGATGTTGATGGAGGTTGTTCATTTTTTCCAAAGTGTCCTTGCAACTCACCTAAATTTTGATGTTAAAATTGGAATACTAGTTTCATAATACCCTTAGTGATGATTATTGTAGTCATGGCTTGTGACAGAAGCATGGGGAAAAAAAAGGTGCTTAGGAATATTTTAAAGTAACATTATTTTTCCAAATAAATTCAAATAAACTAAGAATTTGAGACAAAAAGACATTCAAGTGTATAATCATTGTATAATGATGTGAGCATGATAAGTATGAAATTACATCTCAGAATAAATTCTGGCATCAAATGTCTTTATTTCTGAGAAGAGTGACAGAGTTCTGATGTAAAGAAATGGAAGAATCTCATACAGAATGACTGTGGCATCTAAAATAGGCTCTGTGAATATTTCCAGGGCCTTCTGCATGTGATAATGGTAAAATGAAAAAAGATACCTAGGGTCAGAACATTAATAAAACAGCTGTTCAGCAAAAAGCTCCTATCTTCTGATACCTGATCCTTCTCATTCTTGCTAGAGTATGATTTCTCTCCCTGTTCAGCCATTTTACAGTCTAATCAAATGAAGAAATGAAAGCATTCCAGGTTACATCAATAGCATTTTGCTCATGAAGCTCTTAAAATCATGTTTCAAAACCCTTTGGGATTACATGTGTGCCTTTTGTTTGTTAGGCAGGCATTGCTGGATGATGAATGGAGCTCTTAAAATAGTTTTTATTTATTCTTTTGACATGAACTGTCATGGTGTGCAATTTATATGCAATCCAGCTCCAGTCACAGGAGGCTTTGAAAAATCACAGAATGGTTGAGGTTGGAAGGGACCTCTAGAGATTGCCTAGTCCAAATCATCCAACCCGCCCCGCTCCAGCAGGGACGCTTCCTCACGCGCCCCTGTGTTCAGGCCCGGTCTGCTAAGGAAATGCCGCTTAGAGCTTTAGACATGTTTTCAGTTGCAATAAATGATCAAAATGTCATCATGTGGCACTGTGGCAATGCAATATGATATTGAGGGCAGTGCCAGTAAGATCAGTGATGTGACCTGGGCATAAGTGATTGCCGCAAGTGTGGGTACTCCTGTCTGGGATGCATCTCTGTGCCCTTTTCCTTGCATGGCTGATGTTGACTGGTCCAAATGGAAAACAAAACTCTGACATTCACTAGGCATGGGAAAAGAAGCCAGAAAAGGCTTCATCTCCCTCATCTTACCTAATCTCGGCCACAGGCCGAAGACGCCGTAGTGTCCTTTAACCTAATGGCTGAAGAAATAAACTCATTAAAAATCAATATTGTAAAGTTGTTAATTATTTTACTCCTCACCCAAAACCTAAGTTAGCAGGCAGATACAAATGCTGTTTCAAGAGAAGAGTGAACTTACATAAGATGTCATTCTCATCCTTTTTAGCTGATCACTACATAGTGAGATTTACCATCAAGTTTCAAAATTAAATGATTTTGTACATCATTTGTAACATGGAGACTAATGCAAGACAGAGGTTGATATTGCTGTGGTGTTACGGAGCAATTGAAGTAGCCAGACAAGCTGAGTGCATTGAGATGCAACAAGGGATATTTGCCGTGCTGGTGGTCTGACAGCAACGCTACTCCCAGTGCAGTGCTGGCCTCTGAGAAGGGCTGGTCATTGTCCCAGGCACACAACGAACATCACAAGGACATTCAGAGGAACCACATCGCTGTGGAGGAAGCAAAAACAGCCAGACATAGAACCCTGATCCCATCTGGCAGATGTTTTAGAATTCCTAAGGGTTATTATGCCCTCATGTAAATCTAGCATATGTGAGCTAATGGCGATTAATAATATTGCAAATGCCTTTCTAGGACATATTTTAGCATTTGGAAATCAATCAAGCTGCTGGATATGAACTTTACACTCCCCAGCATCTCTGTCTACTTTGGGACTGCCCAGAAGCTGAGGTCACAGGCTTTCCTGAGGGCCTGTATGGCTGTATCTTGTCTGAAAGCTCACCCTGCTGATAGAAAACTATTTGCATTTAAGAGGCCCTTTTATCCCATTGAAATGCAGAGTGAACATCAGTAGTAAAAGACCAAATCTGCATGAAAAGATTTTTATACAGTGACTTATTTTGATTGACTGCTATCAAAGCTCAATCTGCAAAGGTTCTCCTAGAATTCTCCTAGAATTTCAAGGTTATTCAACGGACTAGATAAACCAGAACACTACCACAACCTCTGCTCAGGAAAGAGTCACTTTGCACACATCAACAAGTTCCAGGATCTTTGCTGCAAGTTCCCAAGAAATGACTCCATGATATGACACACAAGTGATTGAATCTTTTGATGTAGATTTTGACTGATGAAAATCTATGGTCATTACAGAATGAATTTTCCAGAGATACGTGTGTGTGTATATATATATATACATATATATATATATATCTGTAACAGTGTCTAATATTCAACAGTGTGACTCAGGAATGGGAAGCAAACTTCCTTATTTCATCATCCAAATGTTCACTTGGCCAGCTGCAAGATACTAAATCATCTGCAGATTGAATTGACTTGGCACACTTCTTGATCCACTTAATCATAAGTGTTGGTATTCAGTCGAGAAAGCAAAACTGAGCTTCTACAGGGTGGCTGACCCTATAATGTAGCTAAACTTAGGGAATAATTTTGTAGGCATCATTCAGGCAAAGTGTGCCCAGTATAGCTAATATCTCACAATATCTGTAAAAATTATTGCAGTCAACACAGAAGGAAGTTGGGACATCTGTAGAAGGCTGCATTTTCACAGACTCAGAGGGATTCTCAGTTCTGTTCCCTGTTTGTCCATTGTCAGCTTGAATTAATATGTATTACCTCACTTGATGTATGATCAGATGAGATGCAAGCTGTCCAGTTTCAGCAAAAGGGAAATGGTGAACTGTGCAAGCACAAGGGCTGTTGTCAATGTGAAGAAACTAATTTGTCAAAAAAAAATGTTTTGGCAATCATCTGAGAATGTGAATACGTAAAAATGGCACTGCAGGACTAGTATTGTGACAGCACGCCACTGTACCTCTCTTCTCTCTCATCACACTTTTTCAGGTCCTTTCACATCCTACTAGTGAAGATCTATCTGGTAGTGTTCTCTTTTACAATATTCCATATCTGTGCTAGCAGTCTGTTTACCACAGATGCCCTTTCAGAAATTTCACCAGCCAGGAGCTCAGTGAAGAACTGGTTATGCATGTTTAAGACTTCATCGCCACCAACACTAGAAGTTGATGGCCATTT